ATCTGATTAATTATGTTGCGTCAGCGAGATCACGTGACTAGTATCACGCCACGTCCTTCTCGAACCTTCGTGAATTATCGGGAGACTACTAGATTGGGGGTAGTCTGGTATATATAAGATGGTCACAACGTGACGGGACGATGACTAATTGAACTGAAGTCAGAGAGAATATTGTTGAGCACGTGAGAAGTTTGTTGAGAATTATAGCGTTTGTTAAAGAGCGACTGTTGAAATTAAGTGTATCGTAAAGTTGTATTCGGAAAGAATAAACCAGTTTTATTTAAGAAAGGACTTGTGTCGCTAAAGTTTCGTCGGAACGAATTTACGGAAAATTAACTAACGAACGTAGACTTAACAATTATAACTCGCAACACTTATAAGCTCTAACTGAGTTTTACTCTTTTACCCACGAAAAGTATGATTGTTTATCCTATTATAACACCCCTACAGTTGAAAGTACGAGTATCCTTAGATAGATAGATAGATTGCGAGTCGAATGCCTTAAACACCAGTCCTCCCTCCCCCCAAAAAAGATAGATGGTTTAAAATGCGGTATTATAATGGGGAAAATACTAAAAGTTTCTTGTCTGATCTTATGCATACTATAGTTAAGAGAGCAAGTTTCCAACCTCAACTGAGACAAAATAGCATCGTCCCTTCTAGCATTCAAAGCAGCATGGGGTGTGATCAATGGAAAAGGAAAAATAGAATGAATATAGCGAGCATCTAAAAAGGCTGCTCAAGACTGAGACCAAGAGGAGTGAAGTAAATTATTTAATAAAGAACGACAAAAGTAAAATTGTATGGGCAATTCAGTGGAAGGATAATCAGAAGACAGAACTACTTTAGCAACGTTATTGACAATTTCATTACCAGGAATATCAAGAAGGCTAAATACCTAGACACTCATAATTAGGTGGTCAGAAAAATTAAGTGAGAGTAAAGAAACTGACATTGCATAGTGATCCGGAGTGACGATTAGTGGGTCATAAGAATTATCAATTTAGATAATTTTTAAGGTATCTATGTAGGCAAAACAATTTTGAAAGACAAATCATGATGTGACTATTTCTTGAAAATGAGAATAATCAAAAATGTCTGGAAAGAGTTAAGGAAGAGGAAACTGTCACAACACATGATATATCATCTGAGAAAGGGAAAGGCAAGAGTCCTTGAAAATAGAAGATAGAATCTCTTTGCAGATAGAGGAACAAAGAGCACTTATTATATTTCAACTAGGATGATTTATTAATACATGACTGAATGTACTCCCACCAGCATATTGTATAGCTTCAAAGCCATGTTAACCAAGCATGTGCTGTCTGTGAAAAGTCAAATGAACCTCAGATGTCATTAGTTGTAGAGCTGAAACAGGAGCACAGCGCATTGCACCTAAACAACTTCGTAAAGCTTGGTTGAATAATATAAGTTTTTTAAGTCGATGAGCAAATGCCGTATCATATAACACATAGTCATATTCAAGTTTAGAGCAGATAAGAGATTTGTACACCATTAAACGAGTTTGTCCATCAGTATCCCGAGATATACTGATAAAACCCAAAGTAAATAAAGTCACTTTGGACAATAAGCCACTAAATTATAGATATATGAACATTCCATTTTCTGTCGAGCTACAAGACAAAAATACCGATATTCTAATACTATGAAGATATTAGTTTGATCAATCTAAATATGGAGAACAGGGCTAATTGTTCTGCTTGAAAATACCATATAATTACATATAGGCTGCTAAATAAAGCCCCCAGATAGTAGTCCAAGTCTGAAGAACATCAATAGTAATTTGTGAAAAAACAAAAAATACAAGAATTAAATAATTCAACCTCGTCTGCATATAGAAATATCCTCAACAAAAAGGACACACAATTCATCATGCTTCAAACATTCTACAATATCACTAAACATGTTGTTAAACTAAGCTGAGCTGAGTTTGGATCCCTGAGAAAGACTCATTTTAAATCAGCATTTGTTGTGAATTTTTACAGAAAATGTATGATCATGTACTTAGTTATGAAGCAATCTCAAAATATATCTGCGATAGAGAAGGCAATATTTTTTTTCTAAAAAGATCTTTTATTTATAGATGATCAAATGCTACTTCAAGGTCTAGGAACACAGTTACTACATAGCCACAAGAGGTCAAGATTAATAAAGCTGACTCTTGTAGATAACCAAATAATCAAGAATAGTTCTACCTTTATAAAAACCAGCTTGAAGAAAACTGGCCATGATGTTCGAGCTACTAATAAAGGCAACAATTGAAAATATATTCCATAACTTTGACAGCACAAAACTATAAGGAAA